ACTTTACATTTGGTGACGTTGAATTCAATATCATTGGAGACAGACCATCTGTGAGCTTCGTCAAGGGCGTTCTGGAGGTCAGATGAATCTTCTGGTTTTGTTATTGTCCTCCATATTTTGGCATCGTCTGCAAACAGCAGAGTTTGTGGTCCGAGGACGTCTGGAAGATCATTAATGAAGACAAGGAAAAGACGTGAGCCTAGCACTGATCCTTGTGGAACCCCACGGTTGACATATATCGGATCAGAAAGTGAATCGGAAACACGAACTGACATGGTGCGTAGGCGAAGGAACTCCTCGATCCAGCCAAGTACGAGTCCACGAATTCCATGGTTATACAGCTTTCTCATCAGTATTTGATGATTTACCCTGTCAAAGGCTTTGGAAAAGTCCAGGTAAATGACATCAACTCCTTTGCCTTGATCTACAGCATAAGTCCAATCGTCCCGAGCCAAAAACAGATTGGTTGCAGATGAACGATTTTGTCGAAACCCGTGCTGGACTGGGCGGAATGATGCTACTTTACCCAGGTCGAAGACGTCATCAGTGATCGTTAGTGGCCGTTTTCCATTTATGTATTGTCCATTTTTCCGAGGTGGATCACCTCAATGACCATCGTCCTGCTCGTGGTTCACAGACGTTTCCGGTATAACACAGCTTTACTTTTTGTAGACGTGTAGTAGCCTATTGACAACGACCGATTTTCATGACTGACACCACTCAATCCAGCACAATTTCGGATGATCAAGTGGTTTGCTTGGCCTGACTAGTACAGAAACCAACAAAAATGAACACCGCATCTTCATTTCATTTTCTTTCGATCCAGTTTATGCTCAAAACAGTGTTAACACCGTTGGAAAAATGCTGTACACACTTGCAGTTGCAACACACACTCATCACCCTCACCAACATCTCGGATTGAACCGCAATCTTGATTATGTACACCATTTCCTCCATTCTCCTCTCGTCCTTTTTTGACCGAAACACAAATCTCCCCCTCGTCAGACACCACCCACCTTCAAGTAGCCAACTACAATTCCCATTCCTCCTTTCTACACAAAGCTGGTGTCTGCGCCTTTATTTATCAATCAGTTGCTGCCTCCAGGATCCCAAATCTTCTCCAATCGCGAATTTCAGTTGATGTGGCTGGAGCTCCGACTTCTTCCTTTTAATCATTACTTTTGTGTTCTTTATCGTTTCCCCAATACTGGCTACTCTTTCGTGCTTGGTTTTTTATCTTCGAACATTGAACACTTGTTTGCAACCGACCCCAACTGCCATGCTACCATATTGGAAGATTTTGACGTTCATAATCAGGAACGGTTGACACATTCGTCTGCAACTTCTTTGGAGCGCGAAGCCGAACATTTCGCTTTGGTCAACAACCTGAACCAACTAGTCGGCCTCTGCACACCTGTCCATGATCGAGCTGGTGATCGTGCCCACATCCTTAATCTGATTCTCATTTGTCTCTTCTNCCCCCTCCACTTTTCTCATCCAATTACTACATTGTTTCTTGCTCCATTAGGTTTACCAACCCTGATCCGCCACCCACCTCGAGACACACATTCTGGGGCTACAACTCAGCCAACTGGGACAGTTTCCGTGATTTCCTAGCCTCATCCCTGGAACGATTGTTATTTCTCTCCGAATGTTTCCAAACTCACCGACGTTGTTCTGTAATGTATGCATCTTTTTATTCTGCACTTTTCCAAACCCGGCAAACCCAAATTGCCCCAGCAATTTAACTATGCATGTGGCCATGCTGTATGCCTAAAACGCTCGGCCTTCCGCCGCTTGCCCACGCCGGACTCCCACCATCGCTTCGTGAAAGCTAGGACCTATTCAGAGAGAACGCTTCGTTCACTGTTACGTAACGACGGTTTGAAAGCGGAATCAATTGTTTGGTTGTCATGTTGTTTGTTTTACATCAACGATTGAGAAGATTAAACAAAATGTTAACATCTCGCGACATGTCTTCTTTCGGTCTTTCTAAAGTATTTGAAACTATCATCTCTAACCAGCTACGCACGTTCCTTGAACGTGAAGGACTACTGGGCGACCGCCAGTGGCTTTCGACAGCGTCGTTCCACCGGTGACCTGCTGGCTCTTGTCTCACAATCCTGGTCATCTGCACTCGATAACCACGGAGAAACGCACTTGGTCTCGCTTCACATCTCACAGGCCTTCGACGGAGTTCGACACGGCCTACTGGCGAAACCACCCATGTTCGGGTTCCCTCTGGAGCTCGTAGCGTGCAGATCAAGTTTCCCCAGTAAGCGAACCATCTCCGTCCGAGTTGATGAGTTTCCATCTCAGCCGTTCCCTATAAATGCTGGTGTTCCCCAAGGTTTAGTAACTGCGCCCACCCTCTTTCTTTTATTTATCAATGATCTTTCCAAAGCTATCAACCCGATCCGGTCTTTTGCCGAAGACACCACCCTCCCTTGCTCTCTCTTCTACCACAATACTTGTCATGTCCAAACCAACATAGATCGTGACCGTAATGCAGTTTTTGTGTCACTGGACTCCGATCTCGAACACATCTCCTGGAGAATTGCGAACCACGTTTCGTTCAATAGTTCTAGAACCTCTCTTTCAATTTATTTAAAACACATTCATTCTTCCCTCGTTTATCTTTTGATTCCACCCAACTGCGTTCCACAGACTCTGTTTCCCTTCTTGGACTGCCCATAACCACTACTTTATGCTGGTCTCCTTTTATTGTTCAGCTTGCTGCGTGCAAGGTTGACCTTTTATTTCGCAGCAGACGTTTTTTCACCCCAGCTTATCTTCTACTGTACATAGCTTAAATCCACCCTACTCTTGAATGCTGCAGTCACGTCTGAGGTGGGGCTTCGTCTTCTCTTTACCTTCTTGATCGTGTTCAACGAAAGGCCATCTGGCTCATCGATGATCCTTCCTTAACATCCAGTCTACAGTCACTAGCCCACTGTCTGGCTGTTGCTTCATTATTCCTGCTCTACCGTCACTATTTTGTGTTTGTATTTGTTTAGAATTTTGCGAGACGTTTGTTCCTCGGAACTTACCTCATCAGTTCTTCTTCATGCAGCTTTTACCCTCTCATCCGATACACAGGCATCTAATCACTCTTATCCGATTTCTGTTCCAAGATGTCTTACTTCCCTGTTTCAATCTTTTCCCCCCGAACTGCCAAATTGTGGAACACCCACTATCTGTCTTCCCCTCAACTTACAACCTTACGCTCTTTACACGCAGAATCAATAAACTGGATCTTACGCGAGTGTTTCCCCACTCTCCATTTTACAGTATGCTATTTGTCTGTGGGGATTTCCCCTTTTACCATAATTCACATTGTGTAATAAAAACCCTGGTATCGAAACCACCCTCAAAGTTGGATTTCTATGACAGTGCTCGAACCCGTTGTACTTCATCTATAGTGAATTTGACCGTTTCCAGTTTAATATCTATTTTCTTCATATCACTATTTCTTATATATCCTGTTTATCGTGACCAATTTTTATTCATCACAGGTTCCTGTTGATTGCATGTGACGGGCTTTGGAAGAGCTTTCCTCCGAGTGAAGCTGTCAAAATGGTCGACCAGTTGTTACAGAAAGAGGTCTCTTCAGCCCTTTTGGAACGCGAATCATTGCGAAAAATACAGGTAGGATGAGTCAATTGCCAAATACAAACGGTCTGAGTTGCGATTTTTTCGATGGTCTGGAGTTGTTGGAAAGTAAAACCATTATTCACCACAATAAAACACTTCCAAGGATTACACATAATGCACCGAACAGACGTTGACAATTCATCGTTCCACTCCACTTCCGAGAATATGAGATGCACAAAGTTTGTGTCGGATGAGCCGAAATCCGAAGGAAATACATGCAAAGTTAGAATATCCTTGAATATGGGAATTCGATCGACACAGAGTGCGACGAAATTATGGGGATACTCCAGCCATGGCTTCATTCATCGACCCAATTGGGATCGAATCCTGGACCTCACAGGCAGAACGCAAGCATATTGCCCATGCGGCCACCAGGTAGCCGATATGGCATGCAGGTAGTTGAGGTCCCTAACCCCGGCACCACTAAACATAGATAATCCGCTTGTCATCTGACTGTTTTTCAGCTCGAAACAAGAGGTACGTTGTCATAAGCGGAAGAAAGATGAACGCTCGCGTCAGGACATTTGCCTATTAGTGTCGGGCATATTGCTGTGATCACGGTAAAATGGAAAACGGCAGTTCGTCCAGATCTAACGAGTACCACCCCTCGGATACCTGGTGAAATATTCGGGCGTTTTGACCGCAAGGATAAGGCGGCAAGGCATCAGATCTGCATTCGAAACACCGTGCGCTGACAGACCAGTCAAAACGAAGCTTGTATTAATAACTTCCACAGGAACTTTTTAGAATACAATTCGACAACCCCCTTACAGAAACGCAAGATGAGGTAAACAGTTTCCTTGGATCATCTCGTAATTCTGAATCCATTAAAATAGACCTAACACTGTGCATGGTAGACGCACCGATCGAGATAGGAAGTTTAATGTCGTGACAAAATTGAAGCTCGATCAATTGGATAATTTACATAACTATTAGCATGATCATCATCATCATCGTACAGCGAGATAGCATGATACCAAGAAGAAAGAAATCGGTCATTTAACTACAAGTGATACATCATGGTCTAGGTCGCGTTTTTCGCGGTTGGTTTTGGTTATTTCAGTTTTCAATTTGAACAACCATTAACCACGCATATTCGTGCACCGGTTTTGGTTACTGTCTTTTGGCTGCCCAATGGGA